TTACACCAGGAAAAGCTTGCCTAATACTCTTAGCCTTAACGCTACTTTGGTCTGAAAGTATGTAATGAGGGGACTAGCGACAACACCTATTACGAATGATTTTCAATGCCTTTGCAACTGTGTCACCATCCTCACTGCTTACAAAAAAATGGGCACCTATGTTTCAACATCCAAAAGTGTTACGGATGTAAAGAGTAAACAACCACCAATCATACCAGTTAGTTTTGTGAGTCGAATCGATCAGTGTTAACCATCTATGACGTTCAAGTTTCTTAAGTTGCTCTGGATGCATGAACACAATACCTTTAGTAGACCAGTAGGATACACGATAATTTTCAACAAAATATCTCTGAGTTTTTAAATAAGACATTGTTTCTGAAATATCTAATTTCAGGTTTGAATTTCCAATAAGATGGGCTTCCATAGGCCCGCGAACCTTATATTTAATGTTTGTTACTTCTTTATGATTTAGATCACGTACACTTGCGGTGAGACCTAGCTTGGTTGCTGCATATTCTTTGACAGTGCTTGTGATTGCTGGGGATGTATAATTTTTTATTGCCTTATTTTTAACTAGAGTTCTGACAGCTTTTGACCATTTTATCCTATCAATGTCTTCTAAAATATGCATGTAATCCGGGGAATTCTTATATCATTCTACTTGAATCACTTTTGAAGCAATTAACCAAGAAACTTTTATCTTTGCTTGACACAGACCAGAGGGTCTTTTCTTTGTTATTCGATGTTTTTCATTTGGAATATTTTCCTGTTGCCGGGTACTTGAATCTCGGTGTTTCATAAAATGGCAAGCAAAAACCTTTCGAATATCACCATTCACATGCTTGTACGAATCCCATTTTGTCCAAACATTTGAAACTAATAGCCACCAATTATCTTCAAATTCATCCATTAGACTTTCCAATGAACCTTTAACATCATAGAGAAGACTTCACTTTTTATCTGGCGAGAGATCCAAAGTTGATGTGATAACTAAAAGAGCAGCATCCACAAAAGCCAAAGATACAGGCTTGATATTTGAAGAGATAACAGACGTAATATCTGAAGAAGTAGTAGATGTAACACCCAAAGGGGCAACAGACATAATGCTTGAAGAAATAGTAGGCGTAACTCCAAAAGGAGTAGAAAACACAACACTCGAAGGAGTGACAGACATAACAACCGAAAAGTAAAAGTAAGGTTTTTTTTTTTATTCACTTTTTTTTCTCACTAATCTTTTAAAATATTATAAAAAAGATAGTTAGTATTTTTAAATATTATTAACAAAACAAA